TTGTAGCTCAGACTTAGATTCTAGTATGTATAATTTTCTTTTCTAACAAACAAATTTCTATATTATATGCAAACATTCATAGGGTTTTATTGATGTCCTTGGGATATTTTTGTAAATTGGTCTTACTCTGGTCAAATTAAAGTAGTTGGCATTTGGCGTTGATGGCTTACTAAATTGCTTATGAAATCAACTATTGATATACAGACGTACTGGTTTGATTTAAAAGTACAATATTATTGAAAATCAGTTAGGTTTATGGATAATGAGTGCGAAGGTTCTTTCTTAACTTTAACTAAGTGAGTTAATATGGGATATGGGTCATGTTCTAGCTGTAGATTTGTAGCTATTTGAATACGCGTTCAAGTTATGTTGGAGTTAGTGGACAGAATAGGTATTTCTCCCTCCTGATTGAAATCACTTGTGTGACACTAAATTGAATTCGTAAATTGCAATTTGGCATATTCACTAAAATTTCCTTAGTAAAACATTATAATCTTTGTGTGCAACATACTTGCATGTTCCATCAGCATGTGTAGTAGTGGTTGTTCGTCTAAATTGAGTAAGTATTTGTATAACCAGTTATCAAAGTTGTAGGTTTTTCTTTCATGGTATTGATGCAGAAATTAAAACTGAGGATATGAACATTTGAGGTTAGAAATAAGAGCAGAAATGAATAGGATTTGATGGAATACCTTTGAATTCGTGTTGAATGGGTAGGAAGTGTTCAAATTTGATTCGATATATTAAGTAGCTATTTGGTGAATATTCACGAATATTTGCTAGCACACTTGGTTAAGGCACTTGCTTCTTTAATCTGAGGTCACGTGTTCGAATCCTATGTTGGTATATTATTTGTTTTATTTTCTTTTGAAATGTTGCATAATTAAATGATTTTTATGATATCTTGCTGCTAAAATTATTATATTCATATATTTAAAAATTATAAATTTATATATTTATCGATAGTAATATTAACATAAAAATTAGTATAATGCAATAATGTAGTAGAAATAGGAAAATATCTCATCATAGATCTATAAATTATAAATTTATATATGTATCGATAGTAATATTAACATAAAAATTAGTATAATGCAATAATTTAGAAGTAGGAAAACATCTCATCATAGATTTTAGATTTGCATGAATTCGTTTTCTATCAAACTTTTCTAGCAACTTAAGAATGTAGCTAAAATTTGCATAAGAATTTATTTCTAATAGATATTATGTTATGATATATATTGACATGGTAAATATCGCAACTTTAAAGGATAAATATTCTATGATAAATTAAACTTAGAGGAATAAAATGTAAAACATAAATGAATATCTAATAATCAACCGAATCGAATATACCTTTGGTTAAATTCTATTCGTTTATAAGCCGAATACTAAAAAATATTCGTTTACAATTAAGTAAACCATCTAGTCGAATATGACCAAATATCAGGACTAATAATAACCGAACAGCTTATTAATTATTTGGTTCATTTCTACCTCTAGTTAGAGAAGGGTGAGTACATGATATCAATAGCATATATGTATAGGCATGGGACCTGTGGTTTGAGCTGACCTGACATTTCTAGCCTTTGAATAGTAGTGGAACACTTTCTTTTTCCCTTTTGTAATTACATAGGGACATATTCTGCCAAAATATTTAGGGCATATTAGAATTTATTTTCTACTTCGAATTAGTAATATTTATTTTAACGATGGCGCTTAAGGGGGAAAAATCGAATTACTGATCAAAACTATCATTTCATTCTCTAAAAAGTATATCACCTGTCCATTTGCTAGGCATGTGCATTTTCATAATTGAAAGGATTTAAGCTTAAGTTTCTCGACTGAGAAGTAAATATTAGAGCATTACTTTTAGTCTATACGGATACAATGTATGATATCTAAATAGTATATAAGCTTTAAATTTTTTTTACCAATGGATCAATAGCTTGCAAAATAAAGAACTTAAAATAGCTTGTTGAGGAAAGTTTGGTTTTTAGTTTCTAAATTAGAAATCAGAATTTTAGCATATATGTTCTTTGTTTTTAAAATCAATTTAACCTTACTTTATCCCCACCCCTGTGGATTTTCGTAGGTAATACTTGGTTTTCAAACTTCTTCTTTTGTGCGCATCATATGTTATAACAAGAAACCACATATGGCACCAATCGAGTGACAAATATCTATATACTACCGGTCAGATTACTTGAACTTCTCTCTGGATTTTGTTGTTGTTGATTTTTGGTTTTTTTAGGGGGGGGG